CCCATTTAATACATGAAGGCTAGATAATGTAGGCTACACGAGCAGAAGACAATCACATCAAAGTGACAAAGTTCACATATAAAAAATAATTTAGCCTGATAAATGATCACACTACTAATGAAAATATATGAAAAGCAATTGCGACTGCAGGAATAACATTTTAAAAGTTCAGCCTTGTGTTCTTTGTCCTTTTTTCTGCCACAGGGCCACCCATCAGGGAAGCTTTCTAATTTATCTGAGAAGCTAAATACCAGTAGCTCACCACCTACAGGCACCCCGAAATCCCAAAGTGGAACTCCACGGCCAGCCTCTGCAGGTGTTGGGGGTCCGATGCATACTGCAGGGACACCGTCATCAGCAGGGCACTCTGATAACGAATCCCCTCAGACCAGACCTGGCGGAGCTTCCAGCAATAACAGTATTGTCACTCATAGGTCAGAGGGAGGAAGCGTGGTAGCACTTGCTGGCGCAGACCCAGGAACTGGAAATGGGAAAGGCACAGGGGGTATGCCTCTTCCTGTTTCTAGTGTCTCTCCCTCGGGAAGTCCCTCCATCCTAGCTACACACCTACAGAGTGATACAGTACAGAGGGGTGGCCAAGGAAACACAGATGGTCTTTCCAAAGAGCAACTGGAACACAGGGAGCGCTCTCTGCAGACGTTGAGAGACATAGAGAGGCTGCTTCTGCGCAGTGGATCAGGTGGAGGCTCTGGAGACCCTGCAAGCTCTAACAACAATGCTCTTAATAACTCATCCAATCCAAATAATAATAATACTGATAGGGGTGGCATTCTGGAGGAAGGTAACAGTGGTACTAATAACTCTGGAAATTGTGGTAGTGGTAATATGTTATCATCAGCCTTGGCTCCAATGGGCGATATGAAGAAATATGAAGAACCCTTACAGTCAATAATTTCTCATACACAATCCATTGGTGGACCTGCCCTTGACAGCCCTCAAATGGACTCTCATCATAACCTGCCACAACCTCCACATCACCATCTGTCACCTGGGGATGACATGGGTCCTTTACTTGGACAAGAAGGACTGACCCAAGAGCAAGTGGCCTGGAGGAAACTTCAAGAAGAATTCTACCAGGAGAAGAGGCGACAACAGGAGATGCACCCTTCTCCGCATCCCCAAAACTTTAGAATCATGAGTGACATGGGCATGCCTATGATGATGAGAGGACCCCCTCCTCCATACCACAGCAAGCCTGGAGATCAGCAATGGGGTCCTGCCAATATGATGGGAGGTGGAATGGGTGGAAATGGACGAATGATAGAAATGCAAGAGGGACCCCGTGGCCCAAGGTTTCTTGGACCGAGAGGGCCGCCTGGAGGGGGCTTCCCTGGTAGTCCAGGAGGAGTTTTATCAATGGAAGGTCTAGGACCCCACAGGCCCTCACGCCCAGGCATGATTTGGCTAGATGATATGCCTAACAATATAAGTGGTGGAAGTCCCTTCCATGGATGCTACCCTGGTGGGCCGCCACAACACTTGCAAGGTGACTCAGAGCATCTGCTAACACGCGAGGAACTGTTTCGCATCATGGACAAACGGCACATGCAGGGTGCTTCCAGGTTTGAACTTGATAGATTGGCTAAACAGCAACAGCATGGCAACATGGGCTCAAGAATTATGGATAATCTTGGGGGCCCAGATCTTCCCAATTTAGGAATGGGCCGTGGTCAACCCTCCGGTCGAGGTGATCCCATGGACTTTCCTGGTTCACGTGATATTATGGGCTCTCCTGGAGGGGGTCCTCCAATGAGAGACTTAGTAGACTCTCCTCTGGGGAGCCACATGGCAATGAACATGAACCCACAAATTCATGTCCAGCAGCAACAGCAGATGATGTCTCAGAAGCTCAGAGGAGGCCATGGAGGAGGACCTCTAGTGGAGATGTTTGGCACTGGAGATATTTCACGAATCAGGGCTTCTCAAAATGGAAGAGGAGGAAATAAAGGAATGATCCCTGGACCTGAAGGCCCTTATCAGTTTCCAAACCAAGGTCATTTTTCTGGAGGTCAGATGGAAGTACCGTATCTTCAACAAAGTGGCCCAGAGATGTTTGGGCCTGATCATCAAGGACCTAATCAAATGGGAAGTACATCACGTCTTAGTCATATGCCGATGGGCGGAGGCCTTAGGGGTGCAGACCTTGGTTCTAGGCAAACCTCCGACCTGTCAGTAAATGTTAACCCTCTGACATCTCCTTCATTGCCTCCTCCTCATCAACTAAAGTCTCCATCCCTCAATCAAGAGCCATCTCCTCTTATACCTTCCCCCTCTGCTCCAGGGCTGAAGTCACCATCACAGGTTTCTTCTGCTGGGCATCATCCCCCTCTTCCACCTGCATCTGGTGCTGGGACTCCTTCGTCTTCTTCCATGAAGTCTCCCCAAGTAATGGGATCTTCCAGCCTTGGGATGCACTCTCCGTCTGCCTCCCCTGCACGACTGAAGTCCCCCGCCCTGGCTTCAAACTCTCCAGGGTGGACGTCTCCTAAACCACCACTTCCAAGTCCGGGTGGTCCAGCCAGTGGAAAGATGGTGGGCAATGGAGGATGTGGTTCTACTGAAACAGGTAGACTCCAATCCAAGCTCAAAACAAACATCAGAGATGCCGTATTGGCTTCTCTGAGGTTTATGATATTCCTTGTCTTGCTGTGAGATTACAAATTTTTTTCATTGTTCTTTTTGCAGGCCAATCACTTCCCCCTAGGAGTTCAAGCTCTACCCCCATTTCCCAGCCAGGCTCAATGAATCCTAGTATGCCATTTACGTCCTCTCCCGATGTCCCAACATCTCAGAATCCATTATCTCTTATCATGTCTCAAATGTCCAAGTACGCAATTCCCAGTTCAACTCCTCTCTACCATGATGCAATCAAAACAATCGCTACTTCTGATGATGAGATGCTACCAGATCGTCCTCTTCTATCTGGTGTCAGCATCGGAGGTATGAAAATAGGGATATAATTACAGACAGAAAATACCTTTTACAGTGGTTAAACGGAGGATTTGCTTAAATTGTGCTGATGTAAGGCAATTTGTCTATGCCATTACAGGAAAAAACATGACAAAAAGAAAGTTTAAGTATTTATATTAAAGTAGTGAGTTTTTTGAATAAAAATAATGCTCCAGTTAATACTTTGTAATTTTAACGAGTTAAGAAAACATTTGTGTTTATTAACTGTTATAATATGGGTTTTTCATGTATTCATCTTGTTTTATCACCAGGAAATATGGGTAATCCCCAGACGTCACAGATTGGTCCTCACAGTGACCCCCAAAGCCCGATGGGTATTGTAAACCAAGGTCAGCAGCACCTGTCCCACGATTCCTCAGCACCTGTCCTTTCTTCCCCAAACCAAATGGGCATGCCTGCCATGAATTCTGCCATGATGGGAGGAGCACCTGAGGGAATGGGGCCCTGCAATGTGTCGCCTATACCCCAGACGGCAGGGTTTCCCCGCATGCAGCCACCACCACATGGGCCCATGCACTCACCTATTGGAGGCATGTCACAGAATTTCGCTCAGTCTAATGAAGATATTCTGCCACATCAGCAGTTACATCTTCTTAACAAAGGTCATCCTCACCAACGCCCCCCTCACCCACCAGACTCTTTTCCCTCACTTCCCATAGGTGAAGGACCTGATCTAAGTGAAGTCATACGCCCCACTCACACAGGGATTCCTGAGTTTGATCTCTCCCGCATCATTCCTTCCGATAAGCCGAGTAGCACTCTTCAGTATTTCCCTAAGAGTGAGCCACATCAGAATCCACATCAAGGGATGCCATCCCAGCAGCCACAGCAGCTCCTTAAACAGCTGTCTTCTTCTGGGCCTCCGCATAGCAGTGGCCCCTCGTCTAACCCCCACTTGGCAAGCCTACAGAATATGATGGCTGAACAGCAGCTGCCACCTCACCCCTCACATGGTGGAATACGCCAGAGCATGGTCATTCCTCAGGGGGTCTCCAGGGGTATGGTTTCTACTGGGGGCATGGGCCCCATGTGTCCCCCTGGTCATATGATGGGAAGGACAGGGCTGATGCCCCAACAGCAACTCCAGCAACAACAAGCCATGATGGCCAACAGCCTTCTCCACCATCCCTCCAATGCATATGGACCTGGCATGATGCCTTCTCAGCAGCACCAACAGAATCTGATGGCACAGCAGAATATTATGATGATGCAGGCTAAGCAGCGAAGCATGTCAATTGCAGGGGAACCCTTTGGACCCCAGGGCCCACTAATGTCCCCTCAGGGTCCCATGATGGCCCCACCTCATCCACAGTCTGGTATGATGGGCCCACAGTCTCTCAGACAGCGGGGAATGTCTCTGGACAGTTCCATTGGCTATGGTCCTGGAGGTATGACCAATATGCCATTCTGATCCAGCTCAATAAACAGTTCTTTAAAAAAAAAATGCATTCACTGGGTTACCCTCCCATTGTGTCCAGAATTTTTCATTGTTATTCTTGTAGTGGTTTTGAAAAGGAGGAATTAAAAAAAAAAAAAAAAAAAAAAAAGAGAGAGAGCAAAAAAGGATTACAACTGATTAAAAATGAAATCACTATAACACTGTTCAATAACAAGTTTGAAGCCATTTTATATAAACTGTAAAATGTGTATATTTCAGAAATGTGTGTATTTGTTGTGGGAACAGCGCAGCAGTCAGGAGAGGAGTGCCTCAAATTTCTATTTGTTTTAATATCATTGATTTATTTTCTCCAACTACCAAACTGTTGTGCAAAGGAATTATATATATATATATATTATAATATATATACTTGCTGTATATAAGATGCAATTTGTGATTGTTTGCAGTTGTTCTGTATAACTGTGTTTTAATAGGAGTTTAAAAAAGAATAATAAGGATCTCTAACATGGTTTTGTTTTGGTTCTTGTGTTGTCAATTCATGTAATCTGATAACACTCACAAGGGAACACGGGTGTCGTATAATATAAAATAAAATCTTTATTGGATTAGCAGTAGCTACAAAACAACACAAGGCTGATATTTGGCCAGCTTTACAACTTTTTTTTTTTTTTTTTGACTGGACAATAAAAAAACAAAAAAACAAAATACAGTAAAAGTAGAAATGAGTATTGTATTACAAGATCACTGTACAGAGGAGGGGTATTTTCAGGGCATGTACACATGGACTAGAGGACTTTATTACATGAGCACTGTGCTGTTGGTGGTTGCTCCATCAGAAATTGATACCCGACTGTGGCCATGGACTCTGAGGAAAGGCAGGCAGATTCGTCTGCAGCCCAGTTTACAAAGCACATGTATCATCTCATTGCGAAAGCGCACTCCAACAAATGCATACAAGAAAGGGTTCAGGCAACAGTGCAAGATACCCAGGCTCTTTGTCACTTCAAGCACTTGCAGCATTATTTCTCTTGATTTACAGTTGTAATCCACGATCACATTCTGTTGTTGCAGGGTATATATGATCAAACTGACATTATATGGCAGCCAACAGAAGCAAAACACAAGTGTGACAAGCAGTGATATTCGAATGGCTCCTTTTTTTGCTTCACTTTTCTGGCTGTTGCACAGAGTAATTACTAGTGCTGTGTAGCAGTAGCTCATGATAACCAGAGATGAGAAAAAACACAAATGATGAAAGACACTGTTGGCCAAAACCCAGTTGCTTGCGTGTGCACCATGACTGTAGTGGTAACAGGCCAGGAAAGGTATGCCTGTCGTTGAATTTTTCTGTGTCACTGAGGCAAATACGGCATTCGGTAATGCCAAAAACAAACAGATGAGCCACATTATCATACAAGTTAGGTGCACTGTTCTTGGAAGGCGACTTTGCATACTGGGAATTGCATGAACAATTGCCAAATACCGATCAAATCCAATGCAAGCTAAAAGGACGCTGCCACAAAAGAGGTTCAGATTCTTCAAGAACTCATTCAGTTTGCACATAAAATCTCCAAAAATCCAGCCGGTGGCGCTGTCGGCTACATCGAAGGGAATTGTAAACAAAAGCATGAGATCAGCCAGGGCAAGATGCAGTAGGTAGATCTCTGTGATGCGGAGCTGGCGCCATCGTGTCACCAGGACTGTTATCATCAGGCCATTCCCTGCCACACCCAGGAGAAAAATCACAGTGTACAGCACAGGCAGGAACTGGCCATAAAAACTCTGCAGGACCACATCATCACACTGGTCATCGAAGTTGCAGTAGTCATCGGTGCAGTTGCAGTAGTCATCGGTGAAGTTGCAGTAGTCATAGGTCAAGTTATTAAGTTCTTCAGGTGTCAACTTGAAAACACATACAAGAGAGCATTACTTTTAATCATCAAATCTCAAATGAAGATTCCCTGTTGTATGCAGCATATGTGATAGTGATCAGACTAATAGTTTTGTTTCATGATGAAGATTCATTACAGGAGTGTGAACAGACTCATTTATGTAATGATCAAATACTTCTTTTTTTCCACTGCAGTTTTCTCAGTCTAATGTTTAGGCAGGAAACACTGAATAGACCAGATTGTTTTCACTTCCCTCTCATGATGACTCAGAAGGCATTTCAAGCTAAATTTGACAAATGTGATTCAACCGTGGCTAATCATATTTTTTTTTAAAATAGTAGCAGGTACAAACACAACTTAAATAACTAGCTGAAAGCCTTGTCGAGTGTGCCGTTTCTCAGTGTTTAATCAAATGTTACTAAATATGAAAAGAAGCCTGCGGGAAAAATATCTGCAGAAAAATCATTAGAAATGCAAAATATGTGTAATAATCATAACACTGTTACACCAAAAGCTGCATCCTATTCAAATGTAATGTTAACTGTACTGCTGGACTTCTGTGGAAAAAGAAGTCACGTACAAATATTTTTATGATATATTACAGATGTGATGAAATGTCATATTTTCATAAAGAAATCTTCTCTATGGTATTTGATTACACATCTATTTTCTATTGCGAGTAATGTAGACTGATAAAAGGATTATGATTGTAATAAGAAATAACATAACAACCATACAGGTTTTATTTTAACTTCAATTTCCTTTTCCCTCCAAATCTGTGTGTCATCAAATGTGTATTAATAGAAAAAATTACATCATTCATTCTCTTTTCATATAGGAAGAATGTAAAACTCCCAGCTGAGCCGTAGTCACAGGCAGCAGCTACATGTTGCTCATTCCATTTAAAATCTCTTGTTTTAAACTAAAACCTCAGTTTAAAACTGAGGCTGAGGTTTGGAAAATGAAGGTACAGAGTTATGTTAATGTCTTATATGAGACTTTCAGCTTCATAACGATTAACGAGGAGTTACAGAATATGTGACCGGATAGGAAATAACAATAGAGCTTACGTATTCCTTTATGGTTGTGTATAAAAAAACAAAACAAAAAAACAATAAAACAAATAAAAAGTTCTAAATTAAAATATTTAGACAGAATTTCCCATTATACGTGCTATTACAACAAAACTCTGCTGAAGAGTGCTGTCATACAGAATATTTGCACTAACTTTCCATTCATCTCACCATTTCTTATTTTAAGTCTTACCTCAAATGCTGTAAAAGTCATTGTTGAAGCCATGCAGATAAATCTTGGCCCCTTGAATGCATGTGTCACACTGCAGTACTGAAATATGCTTGCACTTCCTCCCAGTGCTGGCTGGCTCTATTCACTATGCTTTCTTTTTTTTTCTTTTTTTTGGGTTCATGGGCGTCTCTGGAAGGAAAGACACAAAAACAAATCAAAGCTTTAGTGCAGTGTTATCTATATTAATCACACAAGAGCAGTAATGCAATTCCAAGTAACTGCACTCCTGTATTCTAGCTTTTGACCAGCACTTTGCAACTGCACTAAACTGAACAGAATAATTTCAGCATGCTTATATACATCCTTCCTCTAAATTGTTTAATGACAGTTTGGAAAGATCATCCAGCTCGGTCATTAGTACCAGATTTATGTTTTTACTGACAACTGACAACACAATATAAAGCCCCTTGAATTGTGATTTGGTGCTATATAAATAAAATTTAATTGAATTGAACATTTTTATGTTCATGGTCCAGTTTAAGGTTAATATTAACAAGCAGGATGGTGACCGCAAAGGTTGAAACACCTTGCCATAAAAGCTACTTACAGCTTCAGCATCACCTTAACCACAAATATCAACAGGAAATGTGATTGGGTTTGTTTTTTTTTAATTTAAAGTAGCCACAATCTCACACTTGAGACAGGGTTTTTACAAGCAAGGCTCACAGACAGAAGCATACGAGGCAGACTGCACACTCAGTTCAAAGCAGCAGCCCCTAAATGAATGTGCTTCAGCCTTTTAAAGACACAGGTGTGCCCAATCAGTTGCTGATTGGTCTGGGATCCCTCGGCTGGTCCTATAGATTTTCCCTGGAGGTCTGCTTGAAGGAAGGCTGGCTCACTTCTTCCAAGGCCAGGAGCCATAACAAGCAGGATGGTGACTGCACAGGTTGAAAGACCTTGCCATAAAAGCTACTTACAGCTTCAGCATCACCTTAACCACAAATATCAACAGGAAATGTGATTGGGTTTGTTTTTTTAATCAAATTTAAAAAAAACTAAAAAAATAAAACGTGGGTTAATCAAATAAGGCTATTTCATTAAGGGTATTTAACGATGTAAACATAAAATACTATAAAAGAAAACAAATAGTAAACCATATATCTTTGATAGAGACACATATTGTTCTTAGAAAGATAACAAACCCTGTTTAATCTACTTCAGTCGTCTTTTGGTTTAGACTCTACACAAGATTATTTTTCAAATTTTATCATCTCTTTTGATAGAAAGGAAGTGGGGGTGGGGGCCACGGACATGGTTTCTGTGGTAAATCCGAATGTGGAAGTACAGTGCATACATGCCTAACAGCTGACAGGATGCTTCTCCACACAAGTGATCAAAGTCAGGATGATTAAAATGACTTATTTGTGATTTCCGTTCATGTCTGCTTAGCTACAGATGCAGAATTTCTCCAAAACAGGAAAGTACATTCTTGCTGCAAAAACAAGAACGACGAGACTCTGCATGACAAAAACAATTAGTGTGGGCTGTAGCCAGCAGCAACACTGCAAATCTGTGCCCTTTACAGAACCAGCCTTGCATTTTAGCTCTCTTTACACAACAAACATCCCTTTTAGCTCTCCACCAAACTAAGGAGCCATTCAGTTTTTCTGGGGTTCTCTTGCATAAGTTTTATATTCATTGTAAACCATATGAATAGTAAGTGTTTTGGTCCAATCAGTTATAATATACTGCCAATGTCCCCACTTGGACTGATTAAATTGAACTAGACCAAATAAATAATTAAATAAATAATTAAAATATGAAATAATAAATAGCATGGTGTCCACAGTGAAGTCTGCTATCCAAAAGTTACTGATCTGACTCGCGAAATCTACCGATAACAGTATGTTTCTATATAAACAGGAGAACAAGTGAGACAGTCAGCCAGCTTCAGCTCAGCGAAGCTTCACTCAGCAGAATTTATTAAAAGATACTGAAATATACTTTCTGCTGTCAGATATTACATCCTTATATGAAGGAAAAACAAAATACAGAATCATTTTATAACTGATTCACAACCACCTGATACATTCATAATACACAAGGCCACAAGTAAAATGTAAATAAATCTCTGTTCACCGCACAAAATCATATATAGTGTTGTGCAAAAGTATTTAGCCATCCCTCATGTTTTATATTTTACTAGGACTGCAGTGATTTATCGAAATGTACAAATATAGATAGAATCGCCTTATATACTGTATTTCTAACAAGCTTGAAAGTCATTGTTTGGTATGACCACCTTGTGTCTTTAATTACAAGCAAGTGTGCAATTAATTTCTTTACAAGCTGAATGCCGCCCTAATCAGAGCCTCCCCTTTATTTCAGAAATGGGAGTAAACATTGCACCTCTTTCCTCTTTATAGTACCAATATTAATGAAGATTTGAACCAAAACCCCACTGATTTTCAGTCCAGTTCTTGTGTAATTTGGCAAACCTCAGCTTTTTCTCCATGTTTCCTTTCCTTAAAATGGTCACTTCACAGCTGCTCCTATACTGAGACCATTTTTGATAATGCTCCAGTAAACAGTAGATGGATCAGCAGGAGGGACAGACGCATCTCTCAAGTTCTATGACGGGACTTTATCTTTTTTCAGATGCTGTTCATCCACCGTAGTTGTTGTTTTTTGTTTTAGGCCTGCTGCCTCTTCTTTTGTCCTCCACTTTTATCAATTTTTTAGAATATACTGCATACCATGCCATTTATTAGCTCTGTGGGAATCACATTATTGGGGCAAAAATTATGTGCAGAAATGTGTTATGTTTGGCATTTTTTTTATAGATTCAGCCAATGACTGTAGAAAACATTTTATACAGTCACTGTATTCAACTAAAGAAACTGCAACAAATGTTAATGAGTTTATTCATTGTTGTTGTTGTTTTAAAGGGCTGCTAATAATGAAGTGCCAGAAGATACAATTTCAAACTGGTTCTTTTTAAAAGTTTTCTGTGATGTGTAGACACAACCCTGGTTCATCCCTCGAGTTATTTGTTGCTTGAATGATTCATAGATCAGTGTTAAGTGAACAAATGAAATTCCTCTGAAAACAGGACTTCAGAAAGCCTGGAGAACTGTTGCTCAAGACTGCTTTAAAAATGCCAGACTTAATCTATGGCTGTTGGAGGTTAATAGTGTGGATATGGATATGAAGTGAATGATCTTGGAAAAAATAAGTCTGGTTTCAACACTGAATTTATTTTCCCAAAAGAATCCTATCGATCAGAACACTGATTATTTAGGAGACAGGTACCTACCAATCCAAAGCAGACAGAATCACTGCTGAAATTTCAATTGATGAAGACCTTGGGATGGAGAGCAGGTGAGACCAACCTATGCACACTATGCAACAACTTCACTAAATGCCCAGGGAGATAAAACCTTTCTGAGATATACACCTTTGTTCAACAGAAAAATAAGTCAAACCTAATGGAAATATGTCCAAAGCACAGCTGCTTAGACCACCCAACAGCTAGTTGGAGAGATGCCCCCCAAAATCACAAACTGGGAAGTTCACCTGTGAGATCGCTTTGTGAAAGGCCCTGAAGTCCAAAAACAAACACTCGGTGCAAAGGGATTTGGGAAGGTGTTCAAACGTTGAGAAATTTGCCATACATGGAGAGAAATGGCAAAAAGAAAAGACTGAGAAAATTAAAAAGTCCGGATACAACAGCTGATAATGCACAAGACACAAGCATGCACTACTGTGGACATGGAAGAGGAAAGGATGTGAAGGCAGCAATAACATAGGCTGTTTTCTGTATGTGGCTGAAAATGCCTAAAATGTTGCTGTATGAAGCAAAAATCAGCGAGAGACAGTTAAGTTAGGTTAAGGATTATCTTGAAAAACAGGAAACTGGGGGTATATGACTTTGGGTGGGTGATGAGAAGGGGAAGGAGGGGGATGTGAAAATGAGACATGCACGTGCAATGAATGCAAGCGTGTTAACACAGCCATCTCTCACATTGCTGCTAAAACGGAAAAAGCTGAGGGCATATTACGGCCAGAGACTGAATTCATCTGGTGTTTACAAACCCTCGCTACAATGAATTATCTGGGTTGCAGGACAACATGTTAACATTTTAGTAAACCCGTAAACAGACTAAGTGGTAGAGCCATAAAATCTGCAGGACCAGGAGACTTTCCAATGACTGAACAACGCAAAAGAGATTTCCGAAGACAATGAACGAATCTTTCAAACATGCATTTCTGCCGTCACCATGTTGTCCTGTCAACTTGCAGGGCTGTGTCCACTTAATACTACACTATATAACTTTATAACACTTATTAATAAAAAAGCATATCATTATTGAGGCACTGCAAATTATTTAATCCCAACAATATGTGAACTTTTGACTGTCATTGCGTCAGGGGAAAATAGCTTGATTATGACATGAGTGAGTAAAATGTAGCGATTGTTGAATACAACTTGAATTTGCTTTCACATTGGAGTGGAAACTCCTACAGACTGCTGTGCTTGCATTTCATGATAAACAGGTGAAGTTTCCACAACAGCGTACACACACACACAATACAAGTGACAGCACATGTGTCTGAGAGAGCTGACCAAAAACAAAAAAACCCAAATGTGCAGTCAGAGTGATTTTCACTAATAAATGTCAAGGTTTTTACAGTATCCATGATACCAGTACACATCCTTCTCTTACAAAAGCTGAACAAGATATTCAAGATGATGCTCAACAGTGCAGTGGAAAAAAAATAAAATAAAAATCTCTCTATTTAATCTCTCCAGAGGGGCTGACACTGTGACAATATGCTGATGATTTAATGATGTGTTTTCCTTCTAAGCAGGCCTGCGAGACCGACTGTTGAAATTCCTCACTGAGAACGGTCACAAGGTGATGGGCTTCAGAGAAAGTCACCTATGCGGAGGCACGTCCCTCTCTCCCAAAAAACCACAAGCAAATGTGGCGGCGCGAAGGAGGAAGAGCCCATTCCTCTCCTGGGGAGGAAAGTTACACCCCAGGAGAGATTACAATAGCCAGTGCAAACATTTTAACAGTTACAAAAGGCACACAGGCTTGTTATTAACAAGCAGAGGTGAAGCAGGTCAATTTCATAAAACAAGGTTTCAGACAATAACTGCAA